CCAGGCACAGTTTTTAAAATAACGACACTGGCCGGGCACAGTGGCTCATGCCTGTAATCCCAGCACTTTGGGAGGCCGAGGCGGGCGGATCACGAGGTCAAGAGATCGAGACCATCCTGACAGGGTGAAACCCGTCTCTTACTAGAAATACAAAAATTAGCCAGGCGGTGGTGGCGGGCGCCTGTAGTCCCAGCTACTCGGGAGAGGCTGAGCCGAGGAGAATGGTGTGAACCCGGGAGGTGGAGCTTGCAGTAAGCTGAGCTGCCCACTGCACTCCAGCCTGGCAACAGAGTGAGACTCCGTCTCAAAAAAAATAATAATAAAAATAAAGAATTGTAGGTAAAAACTATGAAATGTCCTCAATTAAGGTCAGGCAGAGTGTGAGAGGCAGAATCAGAAACAAATTGTTCTGGTTTGTTTTTAATGTGGAAAGAAATGCATAACTCTGTTTCTGTTCCTGTCCCCGTCTCTGCCTCTGTGGTGCCTGAGATGCTGGGAATCCCATGGCTGGGGCCACTCAGAGGCCACTGGGAACTCTTCCAGACAGTTTGCATCTGGCTGTTAGTGCCAGGGACCAGAGACCCACAGACCTCTTCACAGACCTCCTGACCACGATGTCCCATGAAGCCTGGAAGGCTGTCAAACAATGAAGCAGAGTCGAGGGATGGGTGTTTGGGCCAGCCCTGTCACTAGATTACTGTATAACTGTGTAATCTGAGTGAAGTCAAATTCCTTGACTTCATTTGGCCCATTTCTTCCTTACTACCAAAAAGGAAGATGTTAGACGGAATTTCATACTCTACTTAAACAGTAGGGAAAAACAAAACTTTGGATTAATCCCGGAAGAGAAATGCTGACCCTGTCGCCTTCTGAATTGTAGGAGGGGAGCTGGCGCTGTCTGCATTCTTAGTGCTAGTATTTCTGTGGCTGCACAGCTTACGGAGACTCTTCGAGTGCCTCTACGTCAGTGTCTTCTCCAATGTCATGATTCACGTCGTACAGTACTGTTTTGGACTTGTCTACTATGTCCTTGTTGGCCTAACTGTGCTAAGCCAAGTGCCAATGGATGGAAGGAATGGTGAGTGGGTCCAACCCTGCCAGGAGCTCCTTCCCACCCCAGGGTATATGAGGTGCTCTCAGGGTTTGTGCTCTGCTAAGCATTGTAAGACATGCAAAAGAAAGAGACAGGCCCAGTGCATTTTGCAGAGTTTTGAGGAGGTGAGCCTCAAATCGATTTTAAAAGGCCGGGCATGGTGGCTCACACCTGTAATCCCACCACTTTGGGAGGCCGAGGCAGGTGGATCACTCGAGGCCAGGAGTTCGAGACTAGCCTGGCCAACATGGTGAAACTCTGTCTCTACTAAAAATTAAAAAAAAATTAGCCAGGCGTGGTGGCACACGCCTGTAGTCCCAGCTACTGGGGAGGCTGAGGCAGGAGAATTGCTTGAAACCGGGAGGTGGAGGTTGCAGTGAGCCAAGATCGCACCACTGCACTTCAGCCTGGGCAACAGAGCGAGTCTCCATCTCAAAAAAGAAAAGAAAATGAGGGAAGGGAGTGGTGCTTGCATGGAGTTGGGATTTGCAGAGGGGGTGGGGAGCCGTTTTGTTGCCACTTAGTTCTTGTGATTGTTGCCATCACAACAGAGCTTTTCTTCAAGTGATGCTGCCTGAGGGGAGAGGACAAAGAGTACTGTGGTAGTGAAAATTGTGTTTTAGTCTCTAAGCTCTCACTAGCCAGGAAGAGGGAAGCCAAACCATGACCTTGTTTAGGAGAAGGAAATGAAACGGATTTTTTGTTTTATGGGGGGAGGAGGGGACGTTATCTAACACATATGACTACCATTTTTGTAAAAACAATGCATGATTATAAAGAAATCAAGTCGCTTGGGGTGATGGAAATGAGTTTATAGTGCTGAGGTTAACCTGACCTTGCAGCCCTAGTATCTGTCAGTCTAGACCCTGTAGGTCTGTAATGACCATTGTCTCTAAACCCAGGGCTCCATGTTTCCAGCTGCCCTATCCATCCTCGTAAACTCTAGTGATTTCCAACAATCTGTGAGTGAGCTTCCTCCTCAGGTTAGATTTTGGTACGAGTGCCCCATGAAAGTCTTCTCTCTTTTGCTGTAGCTCAACCTAAGGCCTCTGACTAGAGGAGTGATTTTAAAGGAGGATTTATTGACGATCTTTCTCAATTCATGAATTATTCATTGGCTCCAGCCACTTAGCTAGCATCTCTCTGTCTGATTCCTCTGAACTTATTCCTCCCTGGCATGTCTGTGGTGGCATTCTGCCAGCCAGTACAATGGAAGGGGCTGTCATTCCTGGTGGGCAGTGCTGGTTCTCCCCCTAAAGGAACTTTGCAAAGCGCTTGGTGGCTGCTAGCTTTCAGTGTGTTCATGTCTGTTGGCATTACCTGCCTCTCCCAGAGTTTCCTCTACTGGCTGCATCTCAACTTCTGTCTTCCCTCCTGCATAGACAGTCAAGGAAGAGGAGCCCATAAAAATAACTTTCCAAGCACTCCTTTCTGAAGCTGTTTTCTGTTTCACCTCTTGTCCTTCAAGGGTCATCTGGGATCATTTGGGACAATATGGGGAAAGTTGGTTTCAGTAATTCATTGAGAGAAAACACATTGGGGCATTTGCCAACCAAAGGGTGTGATAGAAATAACATGGGCTCCAGAGTCTCATGGGCCTGCATTTGGCTCATTGAGCTTCTCTGAGCCTCAGAGCCTTCATTAGTAATTACTGACACACACTGATTTCACAGGGTTCTTCTTAAAGTGAAAAGAAGACTCTGCAAACTAGGATGTAATTCTATAAGGACTGGGATCTTGCCTGACTTATTTCCTGCTTTATCCTTTGTACCTGCAGCAGGGCCAGGCTTAGTAGGCACTCCTTAAGTAACTAGTGAATAAACAAATAATTAAATACTGAGTAGAACTGAGGAAATGTGACCCTTCCATCTGCCTCCCTTTTCCTGCATTATAATTCTGGTGTTATCCTTAACAAATCCTTTTTCCCATAGGTAAATTCTCTGCATTTAGAGTAAAGGACTTGTTAGTGATTTGAAATTCCAGACACTCTAACTTTTCATCCTGTTGACTTGCTCTTGAAGCCTATCAGATTTAAAACTGTATTTTTAATATTTTGCTTATTTCATTTTTGTAGAGACAGGTTCTCCCTATGTTGGCAGGCTGGTCTCAAACCCCTCAAGTGATCCTCCTGCCTTGGTCCCCCAAAGTGCCAGGATTGCAGGTGTGAACCGCTGTACCCAGTCTGTTTTGAACTTATAAAAATATAACCTAGTAGTTAAATGCCTAAACTTGTAAACACTGAAAGACTATAGTAGATTGATTATATAAAACAAGCTTTTAAAAAATAAACTGACACAGGTAGACCGGTGGATTTTCATCAGTCCTTAACTGATTCCTGCTTCGAGGTGGCCATGTGGAATTGCATGATCCTTGGTTCTCTTGCTTGAATCAGCTTTTTAGGGTTCCCCCTTGGCTGCAGAGCCTCAGGCTCTTGCCCATTATCAGTGGACACATTTGTTTCTTCAGTCAAGCCTCAGACTAGGCTAACTGCTTCCTGCTGCTCAGAGGGAAGTCTCTGTTTGCTTTTCTGAAGCCAGTGGTTTGCTCCACAGGTCATCAGGTGGTCTGTTTTTTTCCCTTCTTCCTAGCAGCCAGAGAAGAAAGTGGAAGATGATGCTTTGAGTGTTTCCACTCCTGAAACTCAGTCTCTCGACTGTGTTCTCTCTTATCCAGACCTGGATGGCATCGAGTTGTTCATCTTGTAGTTTACTGTCCCCCTCTTTTGAGAAAGCCCCCTGGTAGCCTTTCCACTGGTGATTTCCTTCATTGGCCCGAGCTAGTCAAGTCAGCATTCTGCTTTCAGGCTCTCCCTAGCAGGATGGTAGCTCAGAGAGAGATGTCCTTAGAAAGTGTTTTTCTTCACTGTAAAACATAAGAAGACTTAAAACTGGACTTAGCAAGGTAAACACAAAAGAGTCTTACCATGCGAAAGTAGATCACAGTAGGGGAGCTGAACTTTGTGCTTGAACCATTTAGAGAAGAAGCAAGAGAATGTGTCTGTATGGAATTCTCTGCCAGAGGGACTGAAGCTGCCCGTAACTGATGAACATATCTCCTTTGTCCAGAGAGACAGAGCTCTGCCTTCTGTACTGGGAAATTACATCAGGAAATTACATCGGGATATTGAGGAACAGGTTCCCCTCTTTGTACTTGGGAAATTACATTAGGATATTGAGGAACAGAATAAGTGGATAATTGTGTTTCTGCTGACTAAATGATTTGTTTAATTCCCTGAGCCTGTGAAATTGTTTAGTGTTGGCTAACAATTCTTATTCCTATAGCCTACATAACAGGGAAAAATGTACTGATGCAAGCACGGTGGTTCCATATTCTCGGGATGATGATGTTCATCTGGTCATCTGCCCATCAGTATAAGTGCCATGTTATTCTCGGCAATCTCAGGAAAAATAAAGCAGGTGAGACCTCTTTTAAAGCCTCCGCATATGGATTTTAACCCTCAGAAGTTAGTTCTCCATGGGCCTGCATACTTTTCCTTCCTGCCCTAGTTAGTCGACTATATCAAATATTTATTTTTGGCAAGACACTTCTCTGGGCCTCGATCTTCCTATCTGTGAAAATGAGAGCCTTACATTGAAAGACCTCTCTGGACCCAAGTAGCCCCGACATTCTGTGATTCTACATTTTGTGTCTCATCAGCATGTGAGAACTAGTGTTACCATGGAGTTAGTACCAGCCACAGCATAAAAACTTGACCTTTAAGTTAGTTTGTGTTGACTTATCACAGGTACAGTTTCCATTAGGTTTTTTGAAATACTAGAAATTGAATAGGCCAGGCACAGTGGCTCACGCCTGTAATCCCAGCAGTTTGGGAAGCCAAGGTAGGCGGATCACTTGAGGTCAGGAGTTCAAGATCAGCCTGGCCAACATGGTGAAACCCCGTCTCTACTAAAAATACAAAAATTAGCTGGGTGTAGTGGTGTGGGCACCTGTAGTCCCAGCTACTTGGGAGGCTGAGGCACTAGAATCACTTGAACCTGGGAGGCAGAAGTTGCAGTGAGCCAAGATCGTGCCACTGCACTCCAGCTGGGGTGACAGAGCTAGACTCTGTCTCAAAAAAAAAAAATTGAATAGTTTTATTTATTTATTTTATTTTAATAAAATGTGCCCCAATTACAGGCGTGAGCCACTGTGCCTGGCCTATTATTTATTTTATTTTATTTTATTTTATTTATTTATTTTGAGACAGACTCTCACTCTGTCACCCAGGCTGGAGTGCAGTGGCGCCACCTCAGTTCACTGCAACCTCCGCCTCCTGAGTTCAAGCGATTCTCATGCCTCAGCCTCTCAAGTAGCTGGGATTACAGGCATGTGCCACCACACCTGGCTAATTTTTATATTTTTAGTAGAGATGGGGTTTCATCATGTTGGCCAGGCTGGTTTCGAACTCCTGACCTCAGGTGACCCACCCACCTCAGTCTCCCGAAGTGCTAGGATTACAAGCATGAGCCACCGCGTCCAGCCAAAAATTGAATAGTTTTAATATTTATCAAGTACTTACTTTGTCCCAGGCTCTGTTCTGAGTGCTTTACATACAGCTTCATAATGCCGACATGAGATGACAGACCAGTCTTCATTTTACAGAGGAGGAAACTAAGGCACAAAGAGGTTAAGCAATTTATCTAAAGTTACACAGCTAGTAAGTGGGAGAGCCAGGATTTAAACTTGTGCAGTCTGACTCTGGAGTAGTCTGAGCTCTTAAGTAGTAGCTTGGAGGATTGCTGGAGTAACTGGCTTTTCTCTTGTGCTTATTGACAGTTGACAATTTAACCTAAGCAGATGACTCTTCAATATGTAATAGACTGACAGAAGTGTGACAGGATGGTGGTTTACACACATCTATGATACTCTTCTAAATAAGAGTTTCTGGGCTGGGCAGGTTGGCTCACACTGGTAATCCCAGCACTTTGGGAGGCTGAGGTGGGAGGATCACTTGAGTCCAGCGGTTTGAGACCAACCTAGGCAACATAGGCAGACCCTGTCTTTACAAAAAATTCAAAAAATGAGCCAGGCATGGTAGTGCGTACCTGTGGTTCTAGCCACTGGGGAGTTTGAGATGGGAGGATTGCCTGGGCCTGGAAGGATGAGACTACAGTGAGCCATGACTGCACCACTGCACTCCAGCCTGGACAACAGAGCAAGACTGTGTCTCAAAAAAATAAAAACAGTTTCTGTAAATGATTTGGGAGTGAAGTGGTGAAACTTTCTTTTCAAACCTTTAAATGCTTATGAGATCTTCTTTTACCCTTTCAGGAGTGGTCATTCACTGTAACCACAGGATCCCATTTGGAGACTGGTTTGAATATGTTTCTTCCCCTAACTACTTAGCCGAACTGATGATCTACGTTTCCATGGCTGTCACCTTTGGGTTCCACAACTTCACTTGGTGGCTAGTGGTGACAAATGTCTTCTTTAGTCAGGCTCTGTCTGCCTTTCTCAGCCACCAATTCTACAAAAGCAAATTTGTCTCTTACCCGAAGCATAGAAAAGCTTTCCTACCATTTTTGTTTTAAGTTAACCTCAGTCATGAAGAATGCAAACCAGGTGATGGTTTCAATGCCTAAGGACAGTGAAGTATGGAACCCAAAGTACTGTTTCGGCAGAGCTGTTTAAAATTCTCCGTTCCATTTCTATACCCCACAGGTTTTCACTGAATGAGCATGGCAGTGCCACTCAAGAAAATGAATCTCCAAAGTGTCTTTAAAGAATAAATACTAATGGCAGATCTGCGATTTCTGGGTCCACTTTCTGAGATGCTTTATAAAACCAACGAACTGATAAAAAGTAGATGAAAGGGGCCGGGCACGGCGGCTCACGCCTGTAATCCCAGCACTTTGGGAGGCCGAGGTGGGCAGATCACGTGGTCAAGAGATCGAGACCATGGTGAAACCCCATCTCTACTAAAAATACAAAAAATTAGCCGGGCACAGTGGCGGGTGACTGTAGTCCCAATTACTCGGGAGGCTGAGGCAGGAGAATGGCGTGAACCCGGGAGGCAGAGCTTGCAGTGAGCCGAGATGGTGCCACTGCACTGCAGCCTGGGCAACAGAGCGAGACTCCATCTCAAAAAAAAAAAAAAGAAGTGGATGAAACTTCTCCAAGCTGCTTCGCAAGCAAACTAACCAAAAATATACAAACAGCTTCACAGACACACACACACACACACACACAAAGGAAGAGATAAGGTCATCAATGGCTGCGGTAGCCTAGTAGGAATGGACTATATAATAATATAGTAGGTGCTCAATAACCGTTTGTTGCATTTCAGTAAAGGCAGAATAACCTTTCAAAATAATAGGCTGGGTGCAATGGCTCACATCTGTAATCCAGCACTTTGGGAGGCCAAGATGGGCAGATTGCGTGGGTCCAAGAGTTCGAGACCAGCCTGGGCAACATGGTGAAACCCTATCTCCATGAAAAAATATAAAAATTAGCCAAGAGTGGTGGTACATGTCTGTAGTCCCAGATACTTGGGAGTGGGCTGAAATGGGAAAATCGCTTGAGCCCAGGAGGTCAAGGGTACAGTGAGCCGAGGTCATGCCACTGCACTCCAGCCTGGCGTGGGCAACAGAGCAAGATCCTGTCTCAAAATAATATATAATTTTCCACCAAAAGTTTCAGGGAAAAATGAGTTTGTTGGAGTTCGTTTATACTTTTGCATGTTACCACAAATATCTCCAGTTAAATAACTATCATTAGCCATTTCCATTCATCTCCCCCTCAAATCATAGCCTAACAGAACACTTTGAAAGCTCTTTAATTTTTTTTAAGTCCCTTGTAGGGAGTACTTCAAAAGTGAAAGCATCAGAAGAAAAAATATTTTTATATTTATGCATAGCAAGCCTTCATGAACGGAAGTGACACACTCTGGATTGAATAATACTGTAGCCTCATTCATATGTAGTTATTCAAATTGGATTAATGTCTGTGTGAGTTTACTTGAACTAGCAGAATGCATCTGAAAATATTCAGGAATAAAGTTTATACTTAAAATAGTTTATGTTAAAGAAAGTACCTGTGATTAATTCAGAGGGAACTAAATGCATGGTATAAAACAAAACCAAAAACTTAAAAATAATACTATAGCCTGAGCAACACATTAAAACTGCACATTTGTGCAGCATAAGATTCTCTGGCTTATTGACTGAGGTGTTAAGTGTATTCCTTTTACGAAGATGTCTTATTACAGTCAGCTAAGCACTAAAGCTTTGCATTTATATGTACTTTGCTATGGGGGAAAGAACCTTATGATTAATAAGATACATATCAAATGCATAGTCAATCATCCCCACCCCCCATCCCTGGAGCTATAACCCGAAACCGTTAAACTAAGATTCTTTTTTTTTTTTTTTTTTTTGAGACAGAGTCTCATTCTCTCACCCAGACTAGAGTGCAGTGGTGGGATCCTGGCTCACTACAACCTCTGCCTTCTGGGTTCCAGCGATTCTCCTGCCTCAGCCTCCCAAGTAGCTGGGATTACAGGCGCCTACCACCATACCTGGCTAATTTTTGTATTTCTAGTAGAGATGGGGTTTCACCATGATGGCCAGGCTGGTCTCGAACTCCTGATCTCAGGTGATCCACCTGCCTCGGCCTCCCAAAGTGCTGTGATTACAGGTGTAAGTCACCACTCCCGAATGCATGTCAAGCACATTTGAAAGTTCTTACAACAATTCTGATGGAGCATTTTCTCTCCCATCAACCAAACACCACTTAAGATTAACCTGTGGCTCACACTACTTAAATAAATGCCATATTTATTTTACTTATCATTTAGAATTTATCCTTGTCAGGAACAAAACTCTTCGTTCATTGGAAATGGAAAGCATATTGCAATTTGGTCTTAATTTCCACACGAATATCAAGTGTAATTTTTAATAAATTATTTGGAGAAAAATGTATTTTATTTCAGCATGCAATTTTATGCCCAGGTTAGACTAGAGATTTGGCTGATGTTCTGGAATCTCATTGTACTCTTAAGTAAAATAATGAGCATCCGATGACGCACCCTGTCAGGGGTTGTGAGAAAGCTGCAGTGTCCAGTTTCCCACCCCTGTTTCCTGCTGTCTCTCTCCCACTCATCCCTGTTTCTTACTTTCCCTTTTCCTTCTTTGCCCAAACATCACATTTCTAGGCAAAGATAAAAGAGGAAATAGTGATGGCCTGAAAGGGGTTCAGAACAACGTAGCATGGCCTTTGGTGAAAGCGTCACCAGTAAGAAATAAATGAGAATTGAGCAGTGCTTGCGGTGTCAGAATCAGCACTGTTTTTTGTGTTGGTGAAAATATTCCATGTGCCTAGAGGGAGAGCATCAGGGATTTTGCAGATTCTTCACAAGGACCCAGAAATAGCTTAAAGGTAGAGATTCATGATTTTCCTGTTGGCTTAAATAGCCTTAATCTTTCATTTTCTACTACCATTAAGTCAGGGGAAATGACATTGAACTACCTCATTAGCAGCCTTCCCTTGATTAACTGCTGACTAAAAGTGTGCTGAAAATGGCCTTTGTTTTTGTGAAGCTCATCCTACACACTAACATTTGCTTACTCTAACATGGATTATTTTGTCTCTAGAAAGCTGTGCCCTGTATTAGATTTTTACTTCAATGAGTGGTTATTGCTAGAATTCCTACACACACACACACACACACACACACACACACACACACAAAACCTTTGCAGATATTTTTGTATGTAGCTTAATAGATATCTGGTTTAAGGAGACTGCAACATTTGCATAAGGTGCCTGAAAACTCAAGAACCATTGATAAGTGAGATCTCTCAAAATGAGCTGATATATTAAAGAAGACCGTAAAACAGTAAATGAGCAAGTCGAATTTCTTTACCCCTGTAAACTATTTAAGCAACTTCTGCCCACTCTTTCACATTACTTATCAGGGGAAAAAACAAAACAAAACAAAACATTCAACTGGTTTTTCATAAATATATTAGTCTAATCTAAGATTTTCCTGATAAACAGACAAGAAACAGCGGAGAGACCAGTGATCCATAAATAATGCATATGATACCTCATCGTTTTTCTCAAATAGCTGTGATCTAGAAAGCCAAGTATTGGTTTTGGGAGAAGTAAAACCTAATTATCCCAATGAAACTATTATGTCAAGAGCTACTTTATACATATAATTGAGAAAGTATAATATCGGGTCTCTTCATTCAAAAAGACTGAATGCTTGAAGCAATCTGAGGATACAAGTCCACAAGGGATTTTTTCAACAAAAGGGCACATCTCCCTCAAGCCCAGCCCTCTGGCTTAAACCTCATGGTGCATATGCAGTCTTCATCAGAGCTCGCTGGCCTACGCAGCACCTTTCTGGGAAGTAGAAAAGGCATGACCCAAGGAACAGCCCCATGGTGGCAGGGCATGAGCCTTTGTGGGCCAAAAATGTCAACTGGTGATGGGGCCACAGTCAGTGAGCAGAGTTTGGGATGGATCTCAGCCCGGTGTCCCTTGTGCAGTGTACAAACTGCACAACCTTCCACAGAGACCCTGCTCATCATGCTGCCTGCCTGTCTGCAGATTTTGTTCACTCTTGAAAAAACAAAACAAAACAAAAAAACTTGATTGCATGGAATCATCACATTGAGAGAGACTAGAAGGAATAAGTAAGCACTCCATGCAAAACATCTGTCCTCCTACACACAAAAAGGGGAGTGTGGTGGTTAGCAGGTAAGTGATCCTCGAACAATAGAATGTCTGTTCAGATGCTAGAATGCCGACCCCAAACAGAAATAGTGTTGTTTTCTTCCTTTCTGACTACTAACACCTGCCTTTCCAGCTCATTGTTTTAGTACTGCAACTCCAACAATCTGTCAACTCTACTGGGATCTCCAGTCTTTTGATCTCATCACATTTTCACTGTCATTCATTTCTCATGAATCTTCTCTTACCTCCTTACCTGGATTAAATTCCTAGTAAATCGTTATAATCAGTCCTTTATATATATCCCCAACTCTCTTGCCTCCTTACATTGCTTTTGCCTACCCACTTACCAAAGCCAAAATCCTGGTTAATTCAACCCTCCCTCCTTTGTGTGTGCACCCATGCAGTTGAGCTGTGCCTGGAGAAATTCAGTACATTAACAGCTTACTTTAAAATCATGACACTAACCGCAAGTGGCTTTTTTTTTTTTTTGAGACAGAGTCTCCCTCTGTCACCCAGGCTGGAGTGAAGTGGTATGATCTCCGCTCACTGCAGCATCTGCCTCCCGGGTTCAAGCAATTCTCCTACCTCAGCCCCCCAAGTAGCTGGGATTACAGGCGAGCGTCACAACGCCTGGCTAATTTTTGTATTTTTAGTAGCGACGGGGTTTCACCATGTTGGCCAGGCTGATCTCAAACTCCTGACCTTAGGTGATCTGCCAGCGTTGGCCTCCCATAGTGCTGGGATTACAGGCATGAGCCACTTTGCTTGGCCTCAAGTGGCTTTTAATGCTGCAGTCATATTAAAATTCTCTAGTCCATTTGCCACTCTCCTAACTATTTTACATCTCTTCTTTTCTCAGAAAAGTGAAGCTATTGGAAAGAACTTGCACTGGTTGGCACCACCACTTCCACCCACCTAAGCATCTGTGTCTGTGTGCATTACCTTCCCTCGTGTTATTATTGTTGAAGTTGAAGAATCCTTTTTTTTTTTTTTTGGTAGAGTCAATTCTTGCTATGTTGCCCAGGCTGGTCTTGCACTCCTGGCCTCAAGCGATCTCCCCATCTCAGTC